CTAATTCAATCTCTCGCCCCCAGCACCTTAGAAACCCAGGAAAACACCCCAGTAAACGACGCAGGAAGCTCAAAAAGAAAGCGAGCCAAACACGATAAAGACGACGACCATAACGGTTCCAACATAGAAATGCTGGATCTGGTGGAAACGCCGGGAAAAATGGGAACTCCTGGGTCACCTACTCCATCAACCAGCTATATCCCACCCTTACAAGCAGAGGCTGTAACAAAAAGCCCAACACAGCAAAACTCAATGGTAACTGATTCCCAAAATCTCAACGACTCTCAAAACAAGGATTTTCCCGCTCTACCATCATCCAGGTACTCCCCACCAAGGCAACTGGCCCCAACAAACCTGCCAACAGCCCCTACTCAACCTACATCGCAAAAGGAAAAAATTCCTCCTATAGTGCTCCGTCAAAAAGACAGATGGTTGAAAGTCTCAAAAGAATTCAACAGGCAAGGCTGGAAATTTAATAAAGCTATAAACACAGGTGATGGAATCAAATTCCAGCCTGCGGATATTAACTCCTATAGGAAAATATCGGCTTTCCTGACCACAAACAGGGAGGAATATCATACGTACTATCTCCCTGAGGAAAAACTTATGCAAGTAGTAATCAGGGGCCTACCACTGGAGATTCCGCTTAAGGAAGTAGAGTTGGAACTCACCAATCTTGGACTGACTCCAGAAAAAATCGTCAGGATGAAAAAAGGCGCAGAAAGGACCGAAATGCCATTAATTCTCGTCAAACTAGATAAATCAAAATCAAGAATCGCTGAACTGGAATTCCTATGTAACATGAGAATAAAAGTAGAAGCTCTGAGAAGAAACACGAACATCAGTCAATGCTATAGGTGTCAGAGGTTTGGGCATGCCCAAACAAAGTGCACTGCTGAGTTCCGATGCCTAAAATGCGCAGAGCCTCATGACACCCGTGAGTGCCAGTTGCCAAAAAAATCCACAAAAGTAAAATGTGCTAACTGCTTGGGCAAACACACGGCGAATGCACCAGTGTGCCCCAGAAACCCTAATGCAGCCAAGAACACCAACCAACAGGCTCCAACTGCAACTTCAACAAACCACAGAGTGCAGAACGTTACGTACAGCCAAAGGGTCACAGGCCAGACTCAATCGCCTGCTCCAGTGCAACCTGACATGAGTATGGTCTTACAAACACTCACCACGGTACTTACGAGGCTAGCAAATCAGGAGACAATACTAACCCAACTGGTTCAATCAAACAACTCACAAAGTCAAGCTCAATACACAAACCTACATGGATAACGCACCAAACTCTGCGCAACCAGGACAGGGCCCCTCAAAACATCGAGGGTTAAAAATTATAAACTGGAACGCGAACGGACTAAGGAATAGAAAAGTGGAACTAGAGGTACTAAAAACCGAACACGCGCCGGACATATTCGCAGTCACGGAAACTAGATTTAAAAAAAAGGATAAGATCAAACTGGCAGGGTACCTCTCGTACAGCTTCCCTAGAACTGCAGAAGATGGTGGAGGCGGCACGCTGCTGCTGATAAAACGAACATTATCCCACTCGATGACACCCATGCCCAACATGCAGATACTGGAAACGGGTGCGGTGTATGTTGATACGGGTTTCGCAGGCAGAATTAAAATCGTGGTGGGCTATCTGCCACCCGGTCATATCTTCCCCGAACAAGAAGTCATAAGAGCTATGGCAGAGGACATCCCTACCTTAATGATGGGTGACTTTAACTCTAAAAACCCGGAATGGAACAGCCGTACTACGAATACCAACGGCCGCAAACTTGCCTCACTAGCGGAATCAAGATCCTGGGACATTTACGGGCCTGTAGAACCCACCCATCAAAGGCCTGGAAATTACCAACCTGATGTGCTCGACATAACTGTAACGAAAAATTACCACTACCAAATCAGCTCCATCACGACGGTAAGCACCACCTCGGATCACAATCCAGTTATCCTGGAAATTGGACCTTATAGCCCCAATACTGATTATGTCACCATAAAAAACACGAACTGGAACCTCTTCAGGGAAATACTTAACCAGGATGACAGTACGTTTAATAGAACTCACAGCTCCGCAGAAATAGACATGCAGGCACAAAACATCACGAATGTGATAAAAAATGCTTTGGAAAAAGCCACCACAACAAGGATAGTAAAGCCAAACTGCCCCTATCGCATCCCGCAGGACTTAATCCTTCGTATTGCAGAAAAAAGAAGGGCAAAAAAAAGGGCGCAAAGGACCCTGGATCCTGAAGATAGGAGAAGATACAATAGACTGGCATGGGAAGTAAAGAAGGAGCTCACTGCCCACAAAAGTAATAAATGGCAGGACAAACTGGAAAGCCTCGACACCGGTGACCGAAACATGTGGAGAATCATAAAAGCCCTGAAAGCAGAAGAGCCAAAACAAGTGTGCCCCATTGACACCACCGAGGGCCTAATATATTCAAATGAGGAAAAAGCAGAATACTTTTCCGCACACTTAAGCTCGCAGTTTAGCCAGAATGACAGCACACCGGCAAACGCCCGCATAGACGCTAGTAAAATTGACTATGTGGTCAGATTTTTAGAAACACCACCGCAAACTGAAAACACTCAAACGACAACTGCTGAAATCAAACAAATTATAAACAGCCTAAAACAGCGCGTGGCCCCAGGTGCGGATGCCATCACCAACAAATCCCTGAAACTCTTACCAGACAACATAATAGGCAAACTCTGCACTATTTTTAACAATGCCCTGGCCAGAAGCCATTTCCCGACAATCTGGAAAGCCGCCACGGTAGTGATGCTGCCCAAAGGTAAAAACAAACTAACTGCTGAAGGCTATAGACCTATATCGCTCCTACCGTCTCTGGCCAAGCTCCTGGAACGCATCATAAAGGAACGACTCAATGACGAGATCGTGGACAGAGAAATTCTACCGGACGAACAGTATGGTTTTAGATCACAGCTGTCAACGGAGCTACAGGTGGTACGAATCGCGGAATGCATTTCCCATGGCTTTGATCTAAAACTAAAAACAGGCATGGCACTGTTGGATATCTGCAAGGCCTTCGATAAAGTCTGGCATGTTGGCCTCCTGTATAAAATGATCCAACAAGAAATACCAGCATCGCTGATCAGATTAACGGCATCCTACCTGACTGGACGTAAATTTCAGGTGAAAGTACAGGACACAATATCCAGAGCGAAAACCATAACGGCCGGAGTCCCACAGGGTTCAGTCCTGGGACCTACCCTTTTTAATCTATTCACAGCGGATCTACCACGTACCCCAGGCGTAAAGATCGCCCTGTACGCTGATGATACGGCCCTCTATGTCACAAGCTGCAACAAAGACAGAATAAGAGCCAAACTGCAACAAGCACTGGATGATGTGGAGATGTGGGCACGGGAATGGAGGGTGAAAATAAACCCGTTAAAAACACAAACAATTATGTTCCAGAGAGGGTCAGGCATGGTACCGGAACCACTCATGCTGGAAGATAGCAGCATTAGATGGAGCAACACCGCCAAATATCTAGGAGTCACGCTGGATTCAAAACTTACCTGGGGCCCCCACCTTAAAGCCACTGGAGGAAAAGTCAGAGCAATGATGGGAGCACTGAGACCAATGTATGCACCTGGATCCCAGCTCTGCCTGAAAAATAAGGTGATGATATGGAAAACAATTCTTAGACCAGTCGCGACTTATGCCTGCGCGGCATGGAGTACGGCGGCGGCAATGCATAGGAAAAAGATCGAGACTCTGCAAAACAAATATCTCCGGGCTATCACCTCGGCTCCGTGGTATGTTAGGAACGTAAATATTAGGCAGGATCTTAGAATCCCGAGTATGGACGAGTTCATAAAGTCAACCACCAGGGCATTGCTAAACAGGGCGGAGCACATAGATAACCAAACCCTGAGAAGTGCGATTGATTACAACCCAGATGAGAGAAGACTCTACAGAGGAATAAGAGGCACCCTACCACCGGAACCAGACTGAGGATATGCAGACGCAAAGAAACAAAATGCTGCCAAACACACAAGCATGATAGCACAAGAGAATCACAAGAATGAGATATTGGCAAACAGAGCCAAACAGTGGAAACCATACACAAACTAAGACAAAACAAAAAACCTTTTGTGGTGGTGGTACTAGTTCAATTAAATTAAATTAAATTCAAAACACAAGCTTGCATCTTATATGAATACAAATTCAATGTAAACAGTAAATTCTTAAACAAATTGATTCTAAATCACAATCAATTAGCAAACACTAAATAAGTTTAAATAAGCCTAAACTCCTACTAGTACCACCAAATGTCGCTGTGTCTTAATATGGCACAGCACTCTTAAATATTTATGTATAATCAAATTCTCAAAACTTGTACAATTTCTCTTTATCATAATATTCTGCAGTCTTCCTCAGTAACTCTGAAAACTCTCAAAATCGTAATCTTTAGCAAGTGCAATTTATGAACTCAAAAACGCTTAAACTCACTAATAAAAACAATCAATCATTCAAACATACACAAAACAACCTAACATAACATGGAGCGAGCCTAACTCGCGCCACTGCAGACGAAGGGGGCGGGTGTCTTCTATAGGCACTTTGTCCCCTTCCCCCTGCTAGATAAAATGCATTATAGGCCGCTGGCGGCTCAATACTCACCTACCAAACCTATCCATACACCAGTGCTGAAAAGTACACTCCTATACTCTGATTATGTTCATTATTCTTCCTCTAAAGAGTAAGGGCAAAAGGTCCGTCTGACCTGACCCTTGCTCGGGCAAGAGCCCAGCACTTCTTAGGCCACAATACAATACAATACAGAGCAGCGGCACTTGGGATGGTAGTTTGGTATTTTTAGAGTACAGTAATAGGTGGACGAGACAATATAAATAGATAAATATGTTTAAAAATATACAAATATTTGTTAAAAAGACTTTAAAATTATTATATACAAGAGAATCGTACTAGATCCGTGCACGAGGTGCTAAATGTTAGCTGACCAATGAGCGATCAGTAAACTGGGGGAGGGGCTTGTGAGCTCTGTTGCTCTGGCTATAAAGCCTGAAATCGACCTGTGACCGCAGCAAAACCTTCGCAGCGGCCGAAGGCTAAGGAACTCGGATCTTGGTCAGAATTTGGATCTTATGTGAATAAGCATAGGGCTTTTTGTATGTTTAAAATTGATAACAGACACATGGTTAAAAATATTCAATAAAATATGGTATAAACACATAGTGATAAAAAGATAAAATTGGACGGACATACAGTAAGCACTAACCTCGCACGTAGAAATAACAGAAAGTTGAGACGAAATCACGGGGTAAAAACAAAAAACGATGCATAAAGGGGGACCGACGCCTACTCAGTTCAGCGTCGGTGTATCCTGTCTGCTCGAGTTTCACAATCACAAGTGTTAAATTGTGGCCTGAGAGACATTTGCTGGGCTGTTGCCCTAGCAAGGGTTGGGTCATGAGGACCCTTTGCCCTTACCTTTGATGGAAATTTGTGGTAGTGGTAGATGTTTAAAAAAAACAAAATACTGGATAGGCGGGGATGTTGGAAGGGGGGAAGTATGGGGTCCGCCAGCGGCCATTACTTTATCTTGCAGGGGGATGGGAACAAACCAACTATAGTTAGTTAGCTGCTCCCATCGTCTGCAGTAGGGGGGGTCAGAAATTGGTTGCCCTGAATTGAAAATGAAATTGAAAATTGCACACAATAATTAAAACGTGATTTTGTTAAAACTGAAATGGTTTGTGAAAAAATTTTTTTTGAACTTGATTTACTTTTGAATTTTAAGGTATTAAATGAATTTAGAATTATTTGTTTGTTGTAGCAAGTTTAGGAGGCACGAGACATGGTATTTTTTAACTTGATTTGTTTTATGAAACTGTATAATAATTGATTATTTATTGATTTTGTAATTGGTTGTGCATTATATTTACTTTTTAAAGATATTGACATGTTGAATATGTTGGTATTGAATCTGTGTAGATTCAGGTTATATGTTTTAATTTAATTTATCTTGTGTTTTGATTTTTGTATGTCTCGTCTCCAACTTTATAGAAAATATTAAATTTTTGATAAAAATAAAAAGCAATAAAAAGAATTTTGATTAGCAAAATGATTTATGGTGGTCTGTAGTCTACAATGGTCCCTCTTATGCCCTTATATAGTCGGCGGTCGTTCGGTGAGTAGTTCAAAGCACTCTGCAGTGCCCTATTTTCTATGTTTTCCGCTCTTTCGACAGTGGCGTGTGTTATCTTTTGTATATATTGCATTATGGGTTGTAGACTTAATTCCTCCCTAAGTTGTTCATTTCTCACAAACCAGGGGGACCTGGTGATGGTTCTTAGGTACTTATTCTGAGCAACTTCCAATTTCCTTTTGTGTATATTGGCTGCGGTGGACCATGACGACGCTGCATACATTATTATCGGCCTTAGTATGGTTGTCCAGAGCAGCCTTCTTCCCTTTAGGTTGAGGTGTGAGCTGGCATATAGTGGTCTTAGGGCCATCTTAACTCTAGTTAATTTTACTAGTGAGTCCTCTATTTGAATTTTCCAAGTTAGTTTTTCGTCCATTTTTACTCCCAAGTATTTAACTGTTGTCGTCCAGGGGATGATTTGGTTCTGGTATCTCAATGGGTCAGGGATTGAGCCCCCTTTTCTAAATAGGATCGACTGTGTTTTTTCAGGGTTCAGTTTGATCCTGTAACGGTCTGCCCATAGTTTCACCCTATCGAGTGCCTTCTGCAGTTTGGCCCGAATAAAATCGTTTTTATTCCCCTTGTAAATTAGGGCCGTGTCGTCCGCGTACATAGCAAGCTGCACTCCTCTTGTTTTTGGTATGTCCGCCATATAAAGGTTGAATAGGGTAGGCCCCAAGACAGAGCCCTGGGGTACCCCGGCATTGATCGGATGAGGAATTGATGTTGCTTCCTGTATTTTGGTGGTGAACATCCGGCCTGACAGGTATGACGCAGTGAGTTTTACTAGCGGCGGGGTGATGTCCATATTGATCATTTTGATCAGTAATCCCGTGTGCCATACCTTGTCGAAGGCCTTTGAGATGTCCAGCAGAACCATCCCAGTTCTCTGCTTAAAGTCAAATCCGTGCATTACCATCTCCGTTATTCTGAGGACCTGAAGCTCGGTGGATAATTGTCGTCTAAAACCAAACTGTTCGTCTGGGAGCAGGCTTTTGTTTTCAATTTCTTCATCAATTTTTATTTTTATCGCTTTTTCAAGTACCTTGGCCAGGGAGTTTAGTAGTGATATAGGCCTGAAATTGTTAGGGTGTAATTTTGACTTTTTCTCCTTAGGCAATAGGATTACCATTGCCTGTTTCCAGATCGCTGGAAAATGAGTAGTTTGGAATACGCCATTTATTATCATCAGTAGGTGCTTTATTGCTTGTTTTGGGAGACGTTTAATGGCCAAATTGGTAATACGATCTTGTCCTGGGGCAATTTTGTTCTTTAGGCCCTGTATAATGTGCTGGAGTTGCTCTATGCTCAATGGGGTGATAACTTCCTCGTCTTCATCTCGGATGAACTCATTAACAAAGGCTTCCATTCTTGCATCCTCCTCCGCGTGTTTTGGAAGGGGAGGGGGTGCCGTAAATTGGTCTTCGAGGTGTGTTGCGAAGCAAGATGCCTTGTCTTGGTTTGAGAAGACAAGGCCGTCAGGTCCTTGCAGCGGAGTGTTCTGTGCTGGTTCTTTATTTTTGAGTCTTCGTACAATCCTCCAGATTTCCTTGTTATCTTTGGGGTCTAAGTTTTCTAAAGTTTCCTCCCATTTCCTGGTTCTGTTATCTTGTAGAGCCCACTTTACTCTTCTCGCTAGTCTGTTATACTCGTTTCTGTCGATTGGGTTTCGAGTGCGCTCTGCATTTTTCTTTGCCGTCCTCTTTTGAGCAATTAGTTCTTTAAGTTCTGGAGGAATTACGTATGGGCAGGAGATGGGGACCATGCGTGAAAGCGTGGCCTGCTCCAGTGCATCGGAGATACACTGCGTCAGAGCTTGAGCCTGGATGTCAACCTCCTGTGGAGTTCTGAGAGGTGGGCAGACTGGGCAGGTTTGTGAGACCAGAGAGTTGAAAGTTGACCAGTTTGTTTTTTTGACACATTTTAGGGCCTCATTGTGCTGATAGGGGCCCAGGTGTATTAGTACCGGGCTGTGGTCTGACGTGGATCCTGTGAGTGTCCGTATCGTGATGTTATGGTAAAAATTTTTGGTCAGGACAATGTCTAATACATCTGGGGTGTGATTTGCCCGTGAGTAAGTTGGGTCTTCCGGACCCATAATTTCCCAACCATGGTCGTTTGCCAGCTTGAGCAGATTTCTGCCTTTAGGGTTAGTCGTGACGCTGTTCCACGAGGGGTGCTTTGCATTTAAGTCACCGGCTATTAATGTTGGGATGTTTTCATGCATAATGTTTATGAGATCATTTGCTGGTAGTGCTACTTGTGGAGGGCTATATCCTGTTAGAATTTTTATTCTACCAGCAAAATAGGTTTCGACCTACAATCCGGTTGATTCCAGGTCGCAATTTGGAGTGGGTTGGCACGCACAGTGCGGTGTTGAGTTTTTTGCCAGGATCATTACTCCTCCTCCTCCATCTTGAGTGGGTCTGGGCCTAGAGTAGATTTTGTAGCCAGCAAATCTTGGCACATAGTCCAGTCTAACTCTGGTTTCTGTCACCAGAATGATGTCAGGTTTTCTTTCTGATATAAGAGCTTCCAGTTCAAGTTTTCTTGTCCTTAGGCCATTGACATTCCAGAGTATGATGTTAATACTATTTGCTTTTTTGTTTGCTGCCATTTACTGTTTTGCTGGGTTCAATGCCTTGAGCAGGTTTGCAATGGTGTGGTCTTGTTGAGCCAATCTGGAATCTATTTTTGTTGTTAGGCCATTAAGGGAGTTTATAAGTGTGGCCAAAGTATTGCTTAGCTCCGACTGGTTAGGTTGAGCGGCTTGGGTGTTCGAGGCTGACTCTTGCCTTAATGCTTGGCTGTAAGTTACATTTCTGTTGTTGGCCGGAGTTCTAGATGTATTTGTTGTTTTTGTATTTAAATCTTGAGCTGGTTGTGCTGGAGTCTTGATGTTAGGATTCCTGGTACAGACTGGCGCGTTTGCCGTGTGCGCTCCATCACAGTTAGCACACTTGGGAGTCGTTTCCAACGCTTTTGTACAATCCCAGGTGAAATGTTTTTCTGCGCATTTGACACATCTTGGGTGTGCTGTGCACTTGGATTGTGCGTGACCAAACCGTTGGCATCTATAACATTGAGTTATTGTGGACTTTCTCGCAAGCGGTTCTATTTTGGTGCGTATTCTGCAGAGATATGCCAGATTATATATTCTGCCTTCGTCCAGAGGAAGTTTTACCAACACTAATGGCATTTCTATTTTATCTGTTCCTCTTTTCATCCTGGTTATAGTTAAAGGATGATAGCCATGATCGATTAGGTCTTTTTTAATTTCTTTTATGTCCAGCTCCAAGGGTAGGCCTCTGATGACAATTTGGATTGATTTTTCCTCTGGTAGCATAAAAGTATGATACTCCTCTCTGTTTGTTGTGAGAAACTTCGTGATTTTCCGATAGTCATCCTCAGATGTTGGGAAAAACTTAATTCCATCTGCAGTGTTTGTCGCCTTCGTGAAGTTGAGCCCTTGTTTGGTCAGTTCGCCCGAAACCATGGACCATCTGGCCTTTTTTCGCAGAATAATCGGTGGAATTTTGGGCATTTTTACCTTCGGTGTTTCTTGTACTTGGAAGTTTGTGACTGGAGCTGGAGATGGTGGGACATATTGGGTAACTGGAGCTGCTGTACTTTGACTGGCTATTTCATTATTCCTGAGTGTTGGTGTGGTCGTTATTTGCTGGCTTTGGTTGTTTTCGTCTTCATTTATCGCCATTTGCGTGTTGAGATTACTTTCTGCCTCCTTGTTTTTTGGGGGAGTCTTGGGCAGTTGGTTGTGATTTTCTGCTGGGGCATCCACTAATTCCATGCTGGTGTCAGTTTCGCCTTCAGTATTTACGCTCTTTTTATTTTTGTTTATCTCAGGGCTGCTGTTTCCTTCTCTTCTTCTTTTTTTGGCGTTTCCACTTATGTTGTGAAGGTCAGCTTGCATCGCTTCAATAGTTGCTGTGAGCTTGGTTATTTGATTTTGCAAAGTTGCAATTTGGTCTGCATTTTTTGTCAGTAGCTCCGTTTGGATTTGCAGCTGGTTGGTCAAGCTGCCTACAGTGGCAGTTAGCCTATAGTTTTCCTTCAGCAGTCGCGTGACTTCATCATTATTGTGGTTGATTGCTGTCTTAGCACTCTGGTTATCTGATTTTGTATGAGCTGCAAGCTTTGAGATAGCGGCAGCGATTGTTGGGGAAATACTTTGTTTTTTGTTCACGGGGTCGTTCGATTTTTTGATCGGTTTGTCTGACTTTGCCCGCTTTTGCTCTGTTTGAGCTGCGTCGAGATTTAGTGGTGTTTTTGGCCCGTTCTTGGGCTTTGTCTGTTTTTTTTGGTCATAATCTCCCTTTTTCGGGGTTCGTTCGATTTTTGACGATTTATTAAATACATCAGGTACTTCACAGGGCTTTAGTGGTGAAGGCATAGTTTTGGATTAAGTTTTTGATCAATGCAAAAGAATAATAGTTGAAATAGTTTGGGAACAAAAGTTGCACCCAACGGGATATTGAAAAGTTGTATGACGCGGCGTTCAGTCCTCCGTCCGCTCTGTTTGAACTACTTTTACTCGAGTGTACGGGAGCTTCGACACTTAGGTAATAGAACAATAATAGATGGACAAAACAATATAAATAGATAAAATTATATTTAAAATTGAAAAATTATTCAATAAAATGTCTTTGAAAATTTAGTAACTATGAGAAATCGTGTAATATCCGTGCACGAGGTGCGAATTGTTAGCTGACCAATGGGTGATCAATATGATGGGGGCGGGGCTTGTGAGCTCTGTTGCTCTGGCTATAAAGCCTGAATACGACCTGCGACCGCAGCAAAACCTTCGCAGCGGCCGAAGGCTAAGGAACTTGAATCTTGGTCAATATCAGTACTTTATATGAATAAGCATAGGGAAAATTGAATGTTTAAAATTGACAACGAACACATAATTAAAAATATTCAATAAAATATGGTATAAACACATTATGGTAAAATTGGACGGACATACAATAAGCACTAACCTCATGCACGTAGAAATAACAGAAAGTTGAGACGAAATCACGGGATAAAAACAAAAAACGAAGCATAAAGGGGGACCGACGCCTACTCAGTTCAGCGTCGGTGTATCCTATCTGCTCGAGTTTCACAAACACTATGATATGTAGCCTCCAAATGAATAAAACTGGGCTTATTGCCCTAGCAAAGGACGGGTCATAGTGACCCTTTGCCCTTACTTTGAGGATAGGAATGCATGGGTGGGAGTGGAAGTACTATAGCATAGTAAAAACTGGGATGAGGTGAGATGTGGGTGGGGTAGTTTGGGTCCGCCAGCGGCCTTTACTTAATATAGCAGGGGAATGGGAACGAGCTGGTTATAATAAATCAGTCGCTCCCACTGTCTGCATATGATATATCTGAATGGATGACTGATACCTTGAAGAGCTGTAAAAATTAAATGGTTATTATGATTTTTAATAGTTTTAAATTGTGCATTTCTCTTGAAGAGAGTGTTTTTTAAGCTTGTGAGGCAAGGACTTGTTGTTTGTGAAAAGTTAGTGTAATATAAATATGGCTACGTGATTTTATTTGACTTTTTAATTGGTGAAATGATGAATTTTGAAATGCACAGTTGCAAGAATAAAAATTAAAATTTTCAAAAATTTTCCAAAAAGCCAAAAGGGCTTGGAAAAATTCGCTTTTTGTCGTGTAAAAATTTGGTGAAAAAATAACATAAAATAAGTGAAAATGTCGAAATGATTTAGATTTTTCCTCACGGTGCGGCCACTTAAAAACCTCATTTGACTGAGCCACATGATTAATGCCACATGAAAAGTTTGCGTTAAGCGCCTTATTTGTGGTAAGATTTTGAATGTGACTTGTGTTCTTGGTTTAGGGGGGTCTGTGGTGGTGTAGGCGATCTTGAACAGTGCCCCGGATGCCTCGGTAGAGGCGTCGATCGTCCGGATTATAATCCAGGGCGTTGTGGAGCGCCCTGTTGTTGATGGCGTCTGCTCTATCCAGCATGGCATTGGCAAGGGCGTATATGTGAGTAGTTAGCTCCGGCACATTTAGCTCCTCCCTGAGCTGAGCGTTTCTTACGAACCATCGGGCACCAGTGATGATTCGAAGGAACTTGTTTTGTTGAATTTCGAGGAGGTTCAGGTGCGTTTTCGCAGCCGTTGACCAGGCTGCGCAGGCATAGGTAATAATTGGCCGTACGATCGCTATCCAGACTGTCCTCTTGTTCTTTAGGCTAAGAAAGTTGCCGATGTATAGTGGCCTTATAGTCTTGGTGATGCCTATAATTTTTGCCAGCGTTGCGTCAATGTGCCTCTTCCAGGTTAATCTCTCGTCCAGTATCACACCCAGATACTTGGCTGACTGGGCCCAGGGGATGTCCTGATTTCCGTATTTTAGGGTAGCTGGTAGCGCACCTCCTTTCCTAAATAGTATGGCCTGCGTTTTCTCGGGGTTAATTCTAACCCTGTATCTGTCGGCCCAGGACTTGACTCTGTCCAGTGCCTTTTGAAGTTTGCGGACGATTAGACCAGGGTTAGAACTTTTGTAAACGAGCGCGGTGTCGTCGGCATACATTGCCGTCAGGACTCCTGGAGTGCGCGGAAGGTCAGACAAGTATAGATTGAAGAGGGTGGGTCCAAGTACAGATCCTTGTGGGACTCCTGACTGTATGGGGTGGGCCAGAGAGAGGGCGGTGGTGACTTGCGTGGTAAAAGTCCTGCCAGACAGGTATGATGCTATAAGCTTGACTAGAGGTGGCGAGATCTCCATGTTTATGAGTTTGATAAGTAGTCCAACATGCCACACTCTGTCAAAAGCTTTACTGATATCTAGTAGCACCATACCTGTTTTCTGTTTGAAGTCAAATCCGTGAGTGATAGTCTCAGCTATTCGCGTTATTTGTAGCTCGGTTGACAACTGGGGCCTGAAACCAAATTGGTCGTCTGGCAGGAGATTTTTTGACTCGATTTCCTCGTCAAGTCTGACCTTGATGGCTTTCTCCAGGAGTTTTGACAGTGAGGGCAGAAGAGAGATGGGCCTGAAATTTTCAGGAAGATGTCTGGCTTTTTTCTTCTTAGGAAGTAAAATCACCTGGGCCCTTTTCCAGGAAGAGGGGAAGTAAGATGTGTGTAGCACGCCGTTTACCAGGGCTGTTATGTTACTGACTATAACTCGGGGCAGGTGTTTAAGGGCCAGGTTGGTAATTTTATCCTCTCCAGGAGCGACTTTGTTTTTTAAAGATCTGATGATAGTAGTGATCAGGTCAAAAGAAATTGGCCTGATGGTTTCCGGATCGTCATCGGCAAGGAATTCTTCGACAAAGTCCGCCATTCTGCGGTCCTCCTCTACATGTCTGGGTAGGGGGGGGTTGTCGGTGAATTGAGACTCGAGGGTTTCTGCAAAGCAGTCAGCCTTCTCCTGATCAGTGTAGAGGAGGCCGTTTGGTCCCTGGAGGGGGTGATTTTGCGGTGGCTCCTGGTTTTTTAGACCCCTAATTATTCTCCATATATCGTTGCTCTTTGCAGGGTCCAGGTTTTGGAGAGTGTGCCCCCATCGGGCGTTTCTGTGGTCGGCCAGCGCCGTTTTTACCTGGCTTGCCAGTCGGTTGTAAGCTCTCCTGTCTGCCGGGATTAGAGTTCGTTCAGCCCTCTTTTTTGCCCGCCTTTTTTCGCTAATCAGTAGCTTGGTCTCCTGCGAGATATCGTAGGGGCACATTATCGGGACAGTTTTAGCGTAAGTGGCCTGTTGGAGTGCTGAGTGGATTTGCTGTGATATTTGGATGGCAAGGGCATCCACCATTTCTGGCGTCGTGGGGGTGGGCGTTAGATCTTCATTGGCAGACAGGAGGCGGTGATAGGTGTACCAGCTTGTTTTTGTGATTGATTTCACTTGGTTTCGGGGACAGAGGGGGCCTAGATGAAATTTGACGGGGCTGTGGTCTGAAGTGGAGCCAGTGATTGTGAGGGCAGTGGCTTCCAGCGAGTAGTTTTTAAGGATACTGATGTCTAACACGTCTGGAAGGTGGTGGGCTTGGGCATAAGTGGGGTCTTCAGGGCCTAGGACATCCCAGGCTGAAGACATGGCCAGATGGTGAAGCTTATTTCCATTTCGATTTGGGTTTTGGCTGTTCCATGAATGGTGTTTGGCGTTGAAATCGCCGCCGAAAAAGGTAGGAATGTCTTCAGCGAGGGCCGCGGTGAATTCGCCTTCGGGGAAGGGGTGGCCTGGGGGGAAGTACCCCACTGCCACCTTGAGTCGATTTATGAAACTGGTTTCCACATAGACGGCAGCGTGCTCGAGGGTGTCATATTGTGCTTGGATGTTTAAGCATGAGCAGTGAGGAATTGAGTGGTTAACAAGTAACATGATGCCACCCCCGCCGTTCTGCGCTGGTCTGGGGTACGAAGCATAAAGGGGGACCGACGCCTACTCAGTTCAGCGTCGGTGTATCCTATCTGCTCGAGTTTCACAAACACTATGATATGATATGAAGTGTTTCGACACAACATTAGACTGACCAAATCCAGGCGGACGGAAGACTGAACGCCGCGTCATCCTCTTGCAATTTTTCCACATTCTGCTATTTTATCAATATTTCAAATCATTTTACTAACAACTATCACCCATTGTAATCAAAAATTTGGCCTTCAGCCCTTGTAACTTGTACTACTAACCCCGATTGCTCAAAATTTCTCTCAACTCTGTAAGTACCCAGACCTTCAGTCAAATTGTAATTTGGCAATCGGTTATCAAACTAGAAAAGAGGAGTAATTCCCATAAAAAAAATATAAACAATAAGATATATGTATATATATTTAAAAAAAAAATGATGAAAACAAAAAAAAATAAGAAATAAAAACAACAAAATCAAAAAAAAAATAAATAGAAATCACAAATTATATAAATCTTTAAACTTAACTTCAACTTTTTTTCTTTCAGAGCAACCATGAACTCACTTTAAGTTATTTCACTACTTAATTATATCACACAACCAATATTGTATATTTACCACACTGCCAGTCAAAAGAAGTGTAGGCACATGTCTGCACTTCCTAGGCACGGCACAGATAAACAGCCTCGCCCACTAATGCTAATAAAAAAAAAATACATATTATGGTTAACTATCAACTTAAGATTTCTTTACTCTCACCTAACCAGGTGTAGGCGCTGGCGCCCCCACCTGTTGTAGGTCTACTTTTTCATCACATTAGATTATAAACAAGTATTTTTCAAACCAATCTAAAGTTAACCAAAATATGTTGGAGCTAAAAGTCAAATAGACTGAGCTCCTTTGTGGGTCGATTTGAAAAAATTGCTCGCAAATCTAAAGAGGCAACACACTCTATTTGGGCTTTTATGAATCCTTCCCTTGCAGTTTTATAACATAAGGTTATATATAATAATTGAAGCCTC